CACTCTCTCAGTCTAACAAATAAATAAATCTTAAAATGATAACAGTGTAGCCTTAAGTGGCCAAAAAAAAAAAAAGTCAAAAAGAAAATGGTATTACAAAAGAGCAGTTCTTAAACTAGATAGGAAAGGTAAGGAAACAGCTTTTTCCCAACTTTGTGTTCTGGTGCTGATCAGAGCAAATAGTTGAATTTGTTTTTAAAGTGTTCCAGCTAGCTACAACTACCTACTACCTTTTACCTTTTATCTCCTGTCTTGAGTGGTTTCACAAATTGGGTATGGAAGCAGTGACGGGGCTCCCAAAGAATAGAGCCTGGGCACTCACCATGATTTGCCATTGAATGGAGACTGTATTACTGGCCATGTTATTTAATAGTATTAGTGCTATTTTTTTAAATGTATTTTTAACCATCTGGTTTCCTCTCTTTAGATTGACATTTTGGGAGACAATTTCATGATGCTTGATTCACTCTTGGAGTAATGTGAACAGAAGTTCTCAAACTTGCATATTATATCAACTGGAACCAGCGGTGTAAATGTTCACTTAAATCAGAACTTGTATAAGAAAAAGAATGGGAGTCTGGTTAAATAAAAATGACTATGTCAGAGACTTGAAAAGGGTCATTCTCTGTTTTCTGATAGTGTATATGGCCATTTTAGTGGGCACAGATCAGGATTTTTACAGTTTACTTGGAGTATCCAAAACTGCAAGCAGTAGAGAAATAAGACAAGCTTTCAAGAAATTGGCATTGAAGCTACATCCTGATAAAAACCCGGTAGGTAAATTTTTTTTAAATATCTCTAATGTATTTTAGTAAAGTTTTGCTACATATTTAAATTTTAAATAAGTGCTCAAAATGGTTAAGAAAAATCACATGGCAAAAATCACAATTCAGTTTTTGTACTAAGAATCAGCAAAATAGTCTAGTTGAGAACAGTGTGAAGGAATGTTGATACTAAAATTCAATTCCCTCTTTTTTTTTTTTTTTAAAGTTTTTGTTTATTTGAGAGAGAGAATGAGAGAGAGCACGAGAGGGAAAGAGGGTCAGAGGGAGAAGCAGACTCCCTGCTGAGCAGGAAGCCCGATGTGGGACTTGATCCCAGGACTCCAGGATCATGACCTGAGCCAAAGGCAGTCACTTAACCAACTGAGCCACCCAGGCGCCCCTCAATTCCCTCTTAATTTGAAAACTGATTTACAACAGTTCCATTACAGGTGTTAATTCCAAAGCCGACAATAATAATGTGGAGTAGTTTTTTTAATAAAGTAAGTTAGATCAGGGACACCTGGGTGGGCTCAGTCAGTTAAGCGTCTGACCTCGGCTCACATCAAGATCCCAGGGTCCTGGAATCGAGTTCTGCATCGGGCTCCTTCCCTCTGGCTGCCGTTCTGCCTGCTTGTGCACTCTCTCAGTCTAACAAATAAATAAATCTTAAAAAAAAAAGTAAGTTAAGATCAACTACTTTATAACTGTAACAAAAATTATTTCCTTAGAACTTGGTAAAAATGGCAGTAATAGCTAATAATAACGTGCTTCAACTTTCAGTTTTCTCCCACGTACAAATCCCAGACCAGAGTCAGAAATTATTATAAATTAAAACATAAGAGCAGCCAAATCCAGTTAATTCCAGTCATAAATATTTGATTATATATTCAATGTAATTTTTCAAAACTAAATGTTTTAATACTATAGTACTTTTAAAAATTTATGTAACTTTTTAACGAGATTTGACTCATCAAGAAGAAAGGTATGGTTTAAAATTTTCTGTTTTCTGTAGAATTTTTTAAATAGAGTTATTTGTTGCATAAAGCTCAGCAGTAGAACTCTTATTAGTTGGTTATTTTCCTGGAATCTGCACTCTTTAGAATTTTTATTTTTCATATTTTTCTTTAAAATTTCAGAGTATGATTTTTTAAGTTTCCATATGAGAGATGGTAGTCCTTTTATAGCTAATTATTATCTAGATGAAAGCATTCTTCAAAAACCAGTTCTGTGAAACAGTAACAAATGAGGAACATTTCTAATCCAGTTTTGAGTTTTACTCTGATAATTAGTCTCATTTAAATATCTGATGGATTGGGGCACGTACCTTTTGTTTTTTGTTTTGGGGTTATTGTTGTTTTTAGTTAATATGTTGGTTTTGCCTCAAATGGAAAAATAACCTAAAATTTCTTTGTAATTGTTTTAGGGGTAGTATAATATTTACAAAATTAAATGTTTCTAAGGTTTTGTTAGTTTTTCCCAGTTGCATTTCTTAGAAGGAATGACATACTGTAAGCCCCTATCTGTCAGCCTTTGGAGGCATCAATTCTCATTTCTATGTTACTTTCCTTATTCCTTTTTTTTTTTTTGGAAGATTATAGTTCTTTAGAAATACTTTATTTTAACCCGTGATAACCCATTTCATTATCGTACTCCTCCTTACTTTGGTATCTATTGTCCCAGAAATCTCAAGATTAAATCTTCATGTAGGCTTTGAAGAGACTTGATCATGAACCTAAAACAAATGTTATATCTAATATTTTTAATAGAATAACCCAAACGCACATAGTGATTTTTTAAAAATAAGTAGAGCATATGAAGTACTCAAAGATGAAGATCTGCGGAAAAAGTATGACAAATATGGAGAAAAGGGACTTGCAGATAATCAAGAAGGAGGCCAGTATGAAAGCTGGAATTATTATCGTTATGATTTTGGTAAGATGATACGATACTCTAAAATATTGTTTTTTATTTGAGTAAATTTAGAAAATTAATTTTGTTTCACTACTAAGTTTTACTACTAAGTTTACTAAGTTTATGTAGTTAATATGTATCACCTTGACTTTTTTTTTAATGTAACGTTGGAGCAGAATTCAGAAGGGGGGGAGGTAAAATAAACACAGGTATCAAGGCAAGAGGGAACACTCACTTACCCAGGATTTCTCTTCGTCTTTAGTTACCCTGAAATGCAAGCTAAGAATTGAGGTATGCTTTTGTAGTGACCACATAAAATACTTTAAATTAGTATTGGAGTATTTGTTTCTCAAAACTGACCTTTTTTTTTTTTCAAAATAGCATTTTCAGTTATATTCACTGCAACGCAATAGCGTGTATCAGGTGTCAGCAATGTATGTTTTACAGGCTAAATCTGGCCTGCCACCTCTTTTTGTAAATAGAGCTTTATTAATCATAAAATTATGAGACCATGATAATTACGAGAGTAAAATTAGGCTCATTTATTTACATATTGTCTTTGGCTTCTTTCACTTCAGGGGCAGAGTTGAATAGTTATGGCAGAAACTATATGTCCCACAAGGCCTATTTAACTGGCCTCTGCAGAAAAAGTTTGCTAACACCTGGTCTATATCCATCAGTAGTAGTATTTTGATATTCTATATAGTAACAAGAAATCTCACATTGGTTTTAATTATGATACAATTTATATTTACTAAATAAGTTGGTCTCTACTTCTGTAAATCTTCTAAGACTGTTAAAAAACAAAATATTTTAGAGATAGGATTTATTTAAAAAACCATTTAAGAAGGAAGTGAGGTCTGTAGTCTAGTTAACAGTAACGTATCAGTGTCAGTTTCCTAGTTTTGATATTTTATTAAAGCTACATAAGTCACCCATTAGGGGAAGCTGAGTGAAGGGTACATAGAAGTCTGCTGTTTTTACAACTTCCTGTGAGTCTATAATTAGTGCAAAGTAAACAATTAAAAAATAATAAGTTTTCTGTGGAGATATGGGAATATTAGGAACTCCTATACACAACTATTGACAGTCCCTATCAGGAAACAGAATTTTTTGTTTATCACTGTTTAGATGCATCACCAGTGGTATTATTTACTCTCGGGTTTTGTTAGTTTGTTGCACATTCTTCAACTTTGAGATTTAGTACAGTACTCTGATTTTTGATGATAAAACAAGAGTAACCTATTTTTATATGGTAATTTGTTTTTATGGTGAGCCGTTGATTTATAATTTTTACTTTTAAATTAGGTATTTATGATGATGATCCTGAAATCATAACATTGGATAGAAGAGAATTTGGTAAGTTCATGATGATACGATTTTCTAAAACTAGTCCAAGACCACTCTTTTACCTAAAACTCTTAAGGACAGATGTATTTGGAATTTAGAAATTTTTTTGGATTTTAACATGGTAATGTAGTATTTTTAACTTTTAAAATAAAATATTTTACCAGCAAAAATGGGTGTATTCAGGAATAGCAGAAAATTGTAATTCAGGACATTCAAGCTATGGTAAAACCACAGGGAAGTCCAGCAAATAAAAGGAACTTTATTTTATGGAGAAGGAAGTTGGGAGGGGTTGTTTTGAATGAGAGTCCATCAGAGAAAAGCAAGAATTCAAAGAGGTAACAGTTTCTCATTAGCTGATTTGCAGGGGTAGTGAGTTTCTTGTAGAAGATTCAATGTATGTCTTTTCCTGTTGGGGCCTGTAATTGATTATTTTTTCCTGTTGATGATTCTTCTGTTAGGGTCTTCATTTGACAGTTCTTCCTGTAATTGACTTTGATTGGTATGGCTCCCCCTTTCAGCTTCCCCAGTCTAATGAGGTTTTCCTTTATTAATTTTCACATTTCCCCCTTTTGGTCAAGATCTATTTCTGAAAGCATCTCTGATCAAGAGTCGGGTTTTCCATATTTAATGATTTTGTTCCTTAATGCCAGGAAGGACCTTTTCTGGTCCTCACATCCTACTTTGAGGAAAGTACATACCAGAAACCACTTAGGGCCACATTTGAATAACAAGGAAGGTGAGGCACTTCTCATGTGTAGTTCATATTTGTCAAGGCTGTAAGCATTGGAGATAATCTCCTTACTGGGTACGTGATTTTTACAAAAGTTTGACAGGCAACAAAATACAAAACTTAAAATATATTATGCAAACACAGAAGAAGTAACCTAACTCCCAGATTTTATGATGGTTCTAACCAAGACCCTAGATCAGAAAGTAACTAACTGAAAATATTTATTGGCACTCGCTCCAACTTAGGGGAGAAAATTCTCCCAACAGAAACAAACCCAGAATTATGGATGCCTCTTGGAAGTCCCCGTTTAAAGTGGCCATGAAAGCAAAGCAGTGAATACTGCAAGAGCACACTAAATTAACCAAGTGCATTTGGGACGATACAGTGCAAGTATAAACATGAAGCAATAGCCAATGAATTTGTTGCAAAAAATAGCAAATCCTCAAAGATGTATTAAAACAGTATTGTTATGTCAAAAGAACTGTTTTGGAAACAAATGTTATCTAACACTACAGCCTGTCAGTTTGCAAATTCAGAGACCATGAATTTGGATAAGAGTTCCAGAGTCAGATAATACATCAGATGAAAGAAAGACTTGTGAATTCTGAACCTTCTAAACCTTCAGAAAAAAACAAGTAAATAATTAATTTGATCACAGGATCATGATGAGGCTATTTCCAAAAGGCCATAATCAAAAGAAGAGGTTTCCCCCTGTTGCAAAGGTTTGGGAAATGCAAACAAAGCCTTCCCTTCTCTCACAAAGAGGAAAAAGGGAAGTTAGTTGTCTAAAAGCAAGGGGTTTTATTAGGTTTTTCTTTAAAGTACCAAAAGCTGTGTCTACCCACTCTTTCCAAATAATAGGGTCAGGTTTGTTCTTTTTTATTAAAGCATATAGAGGTTGAGCTAGAAGAAAGAAGTTTGGAATCCACTTTGAAGTGTCCGGTCAGTCCAAGAAAACCTTGGAATTAGAGATTAGTTTTAGACTGGGGGGGGGGGAGTTCGGGATGCAATGAAGCCTACCTGAATCCAAACGTAGCCCTTGTTCTAAGATGGGTTATAGAACCTGAATTTGCGCAAACTGCAATTTTTCTTTGGAGACTTTACATTCCTCTAAGTCCAAAAGTTTTAAGGGGTAGATGTTATCTTCCTGTGAAGAGGTTCGAGAAGGGCAGCAGAGAAGCAAATTATTGTAACAAAGTAGAGCCTGCAGAAAACTTTTTATCATTCAAATCAGCTTTTGAGGTTTGGAAAAAGTAAGAAGGACTCTCTGTGATACCCTAGAGCATTACTGTTCAGGTGTATTTCTGTCCTTCGAGAGTGAAAGCAAAAATAAATTGGCTGGCCTTATCAACCAGGATACTAAACGTGTACTACATAGATCAGTTACAGTGAAAAATTTGCTTTTGTGGGAATGGAGATCAGTAGCATATGGGGGTTAGGAACAACAGGGTGCCAAGTGGTAACAATGTTATTTATTGCTTGGAGGTCCTGAGCAAACCTCCATCCTCGGTTATTTAGGTTTTCTTACAGGTAAAGTAAGTGTGTTATAGGCACTAGTGCAGGGAATAATGAGGGCCCTGAAGGGCTTCTTTATTGATAGGGTATTCAGGGTATTCATTAATTTTGGGGAGAGCTTTTGAGGGATCTGTTTGAATCTTGATGGGAGATGCACCGTGGATTCTGCCAATATCAGTTGAAGATCTTGCCCAAAAAGAAGACAGTAGCTGATCCAATAGGGACAAATGATCATCATCCCCAGACTCAGCTATGGTACTGTCAGAGCAAATAAAAGATGTCAAAGGGTCATTTAATTAACCTGGTTGGCTATTTTAATTATCACTGTCAACTTGTAAAATTATTTCCCCCTTTTGGGTGAAAGGAATTCTGGCATATTTTTCTAAGAAATCTTGACCTGGTAAATGAATGGGGTGGCAGAACTAAGGAGAGAAAGGTGCATATTTCTTAAAGGGCCTAGACAAAAGGGAATAGGTCAGAGATAGGGACCTGTTGAAGTTGATTAGAGACCCCCACTATTTGAACTGTTTTAGTACTCTGAGGCAAGTTTACTTTATAGCAGTGAGGTTGAGCACCAAGACTGTAGCTCTGGTGTCAAGGACAGGGAAAAATTCATTTCCAATCTGGAGAGTGGTTTCTCCAAGCTGATTAAGTGGGAAGATTGGGAAGATCCCTGGTAGTTCCTTGGAGCCCCATTACTGGGAATTAGGAGGGCATTGGAAAGGTGGCTAGAAGGCTGAAGACATCTGAAGCACTTAAGAGAGTAACAGTCTTTTATTCAATGTCCTGACTCTTTGCAGCAACTGCAGAAACTAGGAGATTTTGGCTTTGCTTAGGGGCTTTCATTTGCTGGAGTTGAAAATTAAGAATTGTAGTGGTTTGTCTTTCAGGTGACTCATCTAGGGTGTGAGCAAGCTGGTTTGCCAGATTTAATCTGGAGTGGACATGGTTTCCCATTTTGTCTTGGTTCTTTTAAGAGAGAGACCCCAGTTCAGCCTGCTAATAAACATAAAGTTAAATGCTACCTGTGTGGATTCAACATGCACAGCAAGATCAGAATTTTCTTTAAAGATAATTTGAGGTTGATTGTAATAATCATGAACAGCTCATCAGGCTTTTGTGTGCAAGCCTGAATTTTGTTCCAGTCAACAGGCTTAGGAAAGGCTACTATAATTGCTCAGTGGAGGTTTCCAGCTGAGTGTTCTAACATCTTGCCAAAAGTTAGGGGTCTGTTTCTCAGAATCCCTTTCAGGATGTTCCTCTGGGCTGATTTCATCCAGCATTTGGCCCTTGTGAACAAGCATGTAGACTAACTGGTAAATATCTGAGAAACCAGGTTGGCACCTTTGAATCACTCCGCTAAAATCTTCAGCAGACCTATGGGGGTCCTCACGCACTTTAGGAAACTCTTTAACTATGGCTTGTAATTCAGCCTTAGTCCAGGGAACCTAAGAAATTTGGGGTTTATTTGGATCCTCGGAAGTCTCTAAAGGGGCAGGTTTTAGTAGATTCAGGAGAGGTGGGAGCATGGAGAGGTTCTAAGGAACAGAGAAGTTCAGTGAGAGAATTCAAATGAGGAAACTAAGGGTATAGAGGAGGTGGAGCTTGTGCAGAAGGGAAGGAGGATGATGGCAGTGGAGGTGGTGGGGCCTGCGTATGAGGGGCTGCATGCGTCCTGAGGCAAGATCAGGGACGGGGAAAGGAACCCTTGGAAGCCTTTTTGTCTTTTTTTAATTGTTTGCCTCATTTAGTGAAAAATTGTATTTTGCAGAGGCAAAGTTTAGGTTCCTGGTAGCAGTTGGTTGCTTCAAAATACCAAGCAATATAGGCATCTCATTCAGTTTCGACAACTGTAGAGCCACGTCTGTCCAGTTCAGTTTTGAGGAAAGTAAGTTTGGGGAGATCGAAAGTTCACCATAATAGTCACTGAAGTTCTAAAATTACATTTAGGTAAATGGGCCCATTTAGTTAGAAATATGCATGAGGAAGGACCATAGTTTTTAAACATAAAACTGGCTGAGGTCCTAGAAGTGGAGATGCCCTTAAAGCATTTTGATGACTAGTACCCCATTTCTTAGAGGTTTTTTCCTAAAGCAAAAAGAAAAAAATAGAATAAAAAAAGAATAAATAAAATATTTTACCAGCAGAAGAATAGATTTATTCAATAATAGCAGGGAATTACAGTTTGGGACATGCAAGCTAGGGCAAAAATATTGGCAAGTCCAAGAAACAGTGGAGAGGAATGTTATTTTAATGGGGAAGAAGGAGGAAATTGGGAAGGATTGTTCTGAATGAAAATCCATTGGAGGAAAGCAAGAGTTCAGGGTGATGACAGTTTCTAATTGATCTGCAGTCTGTAATTGATCATCTTTTCTGTTGATGATGATTCTGTTGGGGTTTGTAATTGACAATTCTTACTGTAATTGATGCTGAGAGGTGTATGGCTCCTCATTCCAGCCTCCAACTCTAGTGAAATTTCCTTTTATTAATTTTAATAGTATACACTATGGATTAAATAATGTTCTTCACAGAACGTCGGGCTGTATACTTTTTTCTAAAACATTAATATTTCTGCAGAGAAATGTGTAAGTACACCAAAAAAAAAAAGAAAGTAAAAATAATATGTAGCCAATAGATCAGGACAGGTTTGGATGCCATGGGAGCTTGCTGCAAACTTGCACATAAACTCCCAGTTTTGGAGCTTTTGGATTTCAGAGTTTCGGGTAACTGTGGTTATTTTGGAAGCAGATTTATTTTGACTTAC